ATACATATATATATACATATATATACATATATATACATATATATATACGTATATATACATATATATACATATATATACATATATATATATATATTTACATATACATATTTTCTTTGTTCGTACAATTGAAGTCTGTTCCTTTGCTATACCAGAGAGGGCGAAAGAGAGAGAGTGAGAGAGAGCCAGAGAGATAGAGAAAGAGATCGTTGTGTAAGATTTTTGAGCGGTAAAGAATATTTTACTGTAGTTGAATTACTGAGTGTTGTATATTATTGGCCAACAAATTAAATAATTCTTTGTTTGGAATTATATTAATAATATGATATCAGACTGATATTGAAATTGTTTGATTATTTTAACAATGATAAAGATTGTTGTAGAATTGCAATGGTGAGCAATGACCTTAATTTGAGTTGTATTTGGCAAAATAACACGGTACACAAGGTCGAAGCATAATAGAAAAAATAGCATAACAAGTTATAAAGCTTTACATGTATTGGTAGGTATAATATGTAATATAAAAATTCTTGCATGTCTATTAATTTGATTATTGAGCTGATTATTGTTGTTGTTGTTGTTGTTGTTGTTGTTGTTGTTGTAGTATTTATGATAGTAAGTTTTCAATCCTTACTTAGACATGTGGTCCACAGATTAAAAAATTACTAAAATCTATAAAAAATCAAGTTGTAGATCATGTGGTAGATTAAAATAAGTGGTAGATTATGTGCTTCAATAATGATATTATTATGATATTTCCTTCTAATGTCTTAAAATAAGTCGTAGATTATATGTTTCGAAAATGGCAAGATAATCTTTTAATTCGAAAAATTGCACAGATTCATTTGAAGTCTATGATTTTCACGTATATTCAATATAATTAAATCACAATATTTAGATAATTCGAATACTTCAATATGGAATTTTCTAATTACTAATGCAAATATATTGAAATTATGATTGACTTTATTATCCTCTAAAATGCTTTTTTTAACAAAAAAATCAAGGATACTTTTATTTCAAACCATAAGTTATTGGTAGGTCACAAGCAACAGCAATGAACCTGAATTTTTTGGATTATGACACATAATTGTAATTTCGATTAAAATTTGTAATGACATATAATTATTCCAAATTTTAAAAGGACAAAATAATAATAATAACACTTTTTGGACAAGCTCTAATAATGCCATGTTGAAAACAGTCAATCATATGCTAAAAGATCTAAACTATTCTTGGAAAGGGTAAAATGGTCAGACAACGTGGCATTCCCCACTATTTAAACGCTCACCTCCCCCCAACCCGGAGGAACCGTAACCATCATGAAGGGAGGCGTGTTTTGAAGGCCGACACCGAGAAGGGCTGAGTCCGACGTCGGTGTCGCCAAAGGCGCCTCCTTTCCTAGCTTTACCATCGTGCAGGGAGGCGTGTTTTGAAGAACGACACCGAGAAGGGCAGAGTCCGACGACGGTGTCGCCGAAGGCGCCTCCTTTCCTCGCTGTCGGGAGGCAATGCACAGGGTTCTCCTCCTCCGAAGGCTCTATTCTTCTGTGCCCCCTTCGCGGAGGCTCTCTCAGTCGGCAGCAGTGGCGGCCGACCGAATTGACGCGTCCGTGCTTCCCATTATGCCGCCCTTCGACTACACCCCGCTTCCGTACCTCGGGCCGCGGGCGGCGGAGATCGTCCGGAAGCGGTCGGAGTTCCTCAGCCCTTCCATTTCCTACCTTTACAAGAATCCCGTGCGTTTTCCCTCCTTCCTCTCCTTCACACCCAAAGATTTAAAACATGGTCAAAATCAAAGGGCTTTTTTTTGTGTTCTTTCTGACGAATTAATCGAGTAAAAATCGAGTTCTTTTAGAATTTCGTTTCGCCTAATCCCCAATTTCCGGAACTTCTGATCTCGAGGAACAATTTCGAATATTATTTCTTCTATACTTGATTTAGAATGTCATTGTAACTTCAATTGATGCATTTTTCTCTGAGATTGGGCAAGAAATCATAGAAAATTGTACTGCAATTAAGGCAAAGTTTCTATCTTTGCAGTTGAACATTGTGGACGGAAAGATGCAGTACTTGTTCGACGAGGATGGTCGCCGGTACCTCGATGCGTTTGGTGGTATCGCTACCGTGTCCTGTGGCCATTGCCACCCTGATATTGTGGAAGCCATAATTAACCAGACGAAACGGCTTCAGCATCCTACTGTTCTATATCTAAACCACGCCGTCGCAGATTTCGCAGAGGCATTGGCTTCCAAGTTTCCTGGAGATCTCAAGGCACGTACAACCCGTCTTCTCTTCTCCTCCTTGGTCGTTTATATTGCGCATACACCAACTTAAATTGAACCCTTACACCATACTCTCCTCTGCAGGTCGTCTTCTTCACTAATTCCGGGACTGAAGCAAATGAACTTGCCATGATGATTGCTCGAGTTTATACTGGTTGTCATGATATCATATCAGTCAGAAATGCATACCATGGGAATGCTGCTGGGTCAATGGGTGCGACTGCTCAAAGTAACTGGAAATTCAATGTTATTCAGGTAAATATAATGTTAGGGCCTGAATTATCACCACTATCATCATCATCATCATCTAGAGTATAATGTGAGGAACGAAAATAAATGCAAACAATTATGCTTCTTCATGTATTCTGGAAAACTAGCTTTTTCACAACAAAGCATCATCTGTTATATATATGAATGATGTGATTGAAAGGACTGCTCGGTATTTTGCTTAGGAATCTTATCATCATGCTAATGATAAAAATATCATCATGAGTCTCAAGTTATTTTTCCAGACTGGGATGCACCATGCACTGAATCCAGACCAATACAGAGGGATATTTGGTTCAGCTGGAGAGAAGTACGCCAAAGATGTGGAAGAAATCATAGACTTTGGAACTTCTGGGAGAGTTGCTGGCTTTATCTCGGAAGCCATACAAGTATGCAGTTTCATATGGATTCTTCCACGACTCATTCTATGATGCCTTCTTATTTTGATGCGTATGTTTGATTCATCTCTGGTCACACATCCGTTAACTGAAATCCCTGGCTGGTTCTTCTGTGGCAGGGAGTAGGTGGAGTAATGGAACTGGCACCGGGTTATTTGCCTGCTGTTTACAGAACCATAAAGAAAGCTGGGGGGCTCTTCATAGCTGATGAGGTCCAGGCAGGATTTGCTCGAACAGGAAGCCATTTTTGGGGATTTGAAGCTCATGGAGTTGTGCCAGACATAGTGACCAGTGCCAAGGTTAGCTCTTACAATCTTTTCACCTAATCAGTTAGCTTTATGGTATGTGTTGAAATTGATAATGAATCCATGAGTCGGAGTGATTATAATTAACATGCATCAATTTATCATCAATTCAATCCAAACAGTTAATCTTATTAAGTTGTGGGTCAAAATAATCTCTCTCTTTTTTTTAATCTCTCCTCACACATAAATATCTCTCTGGGATCCTGCACCTGTTTTCCATTTGGATTGGGGTTTGACATGCTCAAGTGGCACCGACTTGCTAGAAAAATTCTTACGAGACTTTTGCCATATTTGAGTACTTCAGACTTGGCATTATAGTAGCTTTTGCATATTGATCGGTTTGATTTCAGAACATGTCTGAAACTGTAAGACTCTCTATATAGCCTTGTGCATTGTTCTTAGTTAACCCCTTACCTCACTTGAGTTCAACTGACATCTATTGCATTCTCTTTAGGGCGCTGGGAACGGCATACCAATAGGTGCTGTGGTTACGACTCCAGAAATTGCTCGAGTCTTGACTCAACGATGCTACTTCAACACCTTTGGTGGTAATCCCGTCTGCACAGCTGCCGGTCATGCTGTTCTCAAAGTGATTGAAAAGGAAAACCTTCAAGAAAATGCATTGGTTGTGGGTTCTTACTTGAAAGATCAACTCAAGGCACTTCAGGACAAACATGATAGTGAGTTTAAGTTTACATCTCATAGTCATCATCTTTATGCACTTCAAGAGAAACACACACCTGCACAGCTGCCGGTCATGCTATCATCAAATGCTTCATCTTAGTTCTTCTTAAATTAATCACTTGATGTTTTGAATGTTGCAGTCATTGGCGATGTAAGAGGAAGAGGTTTGATGCTCGGAGTTGAGTTGGTCACCGACCGTCAACAGAAGACTCCAGCCAAAACTGAGATCTTGCATGCTATGGAGACGATGAAAGGTGAACTCTCTCCAGTACTGTCTTCAAGCTAACCTGATGTAGTTTCTTCACTCACTGCTCTCATGGCAGTTCAAAATGACTCTTTCCCTCCTTACTGCTCAATAATGTGCTTCTTCGAACAGACATGGGTGTGTTGGTCGGAAAGGGTGGTTTCTATGGCAATGTCTTCAGAATAACACCTCCTCTCTGCTTCTCCAAGGAAGACGCAGGTATGTGTGTATATGCATTGGCTCTTCTTTCTGTTCCTTTGCTCTCACTTGAGTGGTGCATGTCTAATGTCTTCCTTTTTGCAGACTTCTTCTTGGATGTCATGGACATTGCATTATCCAAGATCTGAAGCCTCTCCACTGTTCTTGGTGGTGACTGTAAACGCATCTTTGGAAACACTAATTGGAAGAGTGCACTCTCAAAAGGAGATCTTGATGATGACGAGAGACCACGTTCTCTCTCTCCGTGCTTTTCCGAATCCATGCATGTAGTCTTGCTTAGGGGCATTGGCTGTGTGCTACGTGGAAATTTAAGCATGATGCTGAGAGCAAAAGCCATATATGACAATATTGTTATAATCTTAATGAGGCCTTAGATTTTGTGACGGCATCTACTTATTTCTTTTTCTCTTTTTATTTCAAGGGTTGACAAGGAAATTGAGGTAGAATTATGCAAGAATGAGATTTTTTTTCAAAAAAAAGCCTATAAATTACTATTACATCAAACAACATACCAAGTGATGATACCTTAAGACCGTCACTTGTATAATAATATACTAATGTACAATACTACACTAATGTTCCCACAAAAATCGAAAGAAAAAGTTATGTCTTGTAAAGGACACATTATGCTTATTTCACTTCTAATCAAAACTAGGTAGATCATCAATTCAATTAAATCTCGAGTAAATGGACCATTAATCAGAGTATTGGGTTAGTTTATTGGATTGATAGGTTTAATAAAAATTTATATTTATATTAAAAATAAATAATTTTGTTTTAAATGATAAATAAGAAATTTTATTGCAAAATTATATACATTAGGATCAAAGATAATTTATGGCAAGATAATAAATAATTTTGTTCTTTTCTACCAAAAAAATTGTATATTATAACTCAATATTTTTTTAAAAAATAAAAGTAATTGGATTAAATATGAAGTTTGTACAAAATAGTTTTGTCTACCTAAGCTGTAGGCTAAAGCCAGAAATATCTTAAAATAGTTTAGGAGAGTGTACCTCACCCTAGAAAGGTAGAATGGTCTCGCTCCACCAAACTCCTCTCTAAGAGTAGTCAAATGAAAAGGTAATCAAAACTATACATGCTTTAGACTATGACTCTTTGCTATAGTCAATAAATAATAAAATCAATGTTCAGCCATGTTGGGACTACCTATAAATACATCACATTATTGAAATATATAATATAGGGACTACCTATATAGTTCTTCAACATCATTCCTGAGATCATTAACTAATGGGAAAATTGAATATGATGAAGATCCTTTTCTCGCTTTTTGTCAAGTGCTTCGTTTTCAGATCTTGCTCCATACATGATCTTAAGTCTTTAACAATCTCGATTAGAAGTTGAGCATTGTTTGTGTTTTGACACTCAAAGATTCTGCTACACCACTCCTTCCAAATCCACTAAATAGTACATCGGAAAGTAACATTTGTCAGTTGTGCAAAAAACCCGTTTCTTGAGAAGCTTTGCATGAGCTTTCCTAATTCTTGATACAAATTTGGCTTTTGTAACCTATTGAGTTCAAATCTCTTCAAAATCTCCTTTCATATCTAATTAGTGTAGTCACGAGCAAAATAGAGATGGTCAACACTTTCTTCTTGTTGCATACAAAGAGTGCATTAGTTGATAAAATAAATATCTCTTTTCTTCATATTGTTCATTGTAGGTAGTTTGGAAAGAAGGACTTGTCATGTACATAAGGAATGTCTTTGTAAGTCTAGTCTATCCTATGTCTAACTGCTTAGGATTTGCTTATTATGCCTTTTGTTTGATTTGATTTCACACAGATGTAACACTAAATTTACCATTGTCATAAAGCTATATAAGCATATCTGATTACAACACGATGCTATAAATAACAAGCAACCAACCATGAAGAAATTTATGAAATTAGTTTACATAACAAGGGAAAATGTTTACCAAGTTTGTTCCATGAGCATTCCCCTATGATAAAAATATATGAACAAGGTACTCTCCAAAAAGGGGAAAAAAAACCTATGTGACAACTATATAAATTTTCAAGGAATTGTTTAGGTGCTAAACTATCATACCATAAAACTAGAACCATTAGTCTTCATCATCTACCTTTAGCAATTACTAAAGACGGAAACAAAAAAAACCAGACAAGTATTCAAATAATGATTTACTCCTAGTGAGTGTATCTGTAGAGAATGATCATACCTAAAGATTTTAATTTCGAATAATATCACACTTATCGGATAGTATGTACCGGTCTGCCAATAGATCGATACGCGGACCGCTTACCGGGTGGTATTAGTTGAGGGAGAATAAAGAAGAGGGATAAGAAAAAGAAAAACCTGGAGATCCAACATTGCTCTCCCTCCTCGTATGAGGCGACGAGGCCTTAACGACATCGCGAGGAGAAGAAACCAAGTGTTGTTGAGGCGACGTTTCTTCTCCCCATGTAGGTAGAAGAAACGAGGCAATAAGGCGATGACATCATCTCGTCGTCCTTTTTTATACGAGGAGAAGGAAATGATGCAGTGTTTCTTCTCCCGACGTAGGTAGAAAACCAAAGCGATGTTACCTTTTTTTTTACTTATATATATACATATATATACACACATATATGTACATATATATACAAACATATATAAACATATATATACATATATAAACATAGATATACATAAATATACATACATATATATACATATATATACATATATATACATATATATATATATATATGTATGTATATATATATGTATATGTATATACATATATACA